TAGAGTAGTCACAGTGGGGTAGAGAGAACTAGGTGAATCCTAAAGATATCTAGGAGGTCCAATGAGCATTTCTTGGTGGTTGATCCCAAGAAGAAGAGGAGTGCTAGAGAGAGGCTTTCAAGAAGACAATCAGGTTTTTCACTTCAGCATCTCTATGGCCAGTTGTGCCATTCAAATGAAGGAGGGAACACTAGGAGGATCAGGTTTATTGGGGTGTGGGTAAGGAGAAAAGGTGAGTTCAGTTTTGAATAGGTTGAGTTTGATGTTTCATTGGACAGATATTTAGGAGCATCATTAGGAATAGAGATAAATATTTGAGTGTCATCAGCATGGAACTGAGTAAGATCATCCAGGGAGATTGTGTAGAATAAGGATGAGCTAGGATCCTAAAGACACTAATGCTTAGGAGATGAGCAGAGAGAGAAAAGAACCTGTGAAGAAGGCTCATGAGTTGCCAGAGAAGTACAGTATCAACAGAAATAGATAAGTATCAAGTCACAGAGGCCAAGAAAAGGTGATGTTTCAGGAAGTAGGAACCAGAGATCAAAACATACTATAAAAGTACAATGATTAAAATACAGTGGTGTTGGCTCAGGAATAAACAAATTATAAAACAGAAGAGAGTCCAGAAACAAATCCATGTATATATAAATCTTACTATATAGGATGAGGGCGACTCTTTAAAGCTAATAACTTGAGACAAATCCCTATCCAATTAGAGGGAGGAATATTAAATTAGTTCCTACCACACATCCTCCATAAAGATAAATTCCAAATAAATTAAAATCTTATGTAAAAGTACTATACACAAAGAATAAATAATGACATACCAGGAAAAATGTTTGTGTGTGTGTATATATGCATATATATCCCACAGTCACTTCATAAGTAAGTCCTCCCGGAAACTAAACACATAATACCTTTCATCTCCCAGATCTCCTCCTGGACAAACATCCCTGTTCAGCCTACTTCTCTGCCAGCCTTCACTCCCGTCTGTGGAAAGCCAGGTTGTTCAAGAATGGGATATCAGAATGAGTTATCCCCTCCCATTTCTCAAAAGTTCTTCACTTTTGGGTAGTGAAACTGTGTTGGGGTGGTTGAAAGATCCACAATGAGAGGGCAAGTGTTATCAGGCAAGTGTAGCAGGCCCTGGTTATCATAAGAGCCCAGAGCCGCTAGTGGTGAGATAGTTGGAATGGTTTTAGCTCTCCCTTCCAATCTCCAGCCTTCTTGAGACCTATCACTGAGTTCTTCAGCGTCAGCCTCTATCTAGCAGTTTCCCTGGCAGGGTCATGCCCCTGGCTAGGGTTGACCTCTGCAGCATAACCTTCCTTTAGCTGAACAGGGTTGAGAAGAGAGAATTCGCATGTGCTTTCAACCACTGAAGACCACATAAGTGGCTGGGTCTGCTAGGGTCTTTTGCAGATTTTGGCCCTTCTGCTCCCACTGTTTTGGGGAGTTATGCCATGTGGGAAGCAACTGGTTAGTAATCTGCCACCCTCCTTGCCATCTTGGGGGGAAGCCATGGGCTCTACCAGGTTTGAACCCCTAGAAGGATCACCAGAGGTAAGTCACTGTTGCTGCTTCTAATTTTCCAAGTTAAACGGAGGTCTGGAGGGATGGGCTGTTTTATTTCTTGGCTACGTGTGAGCATCTGACTGTTTGTGAAGGGAAGGGAAGTGGACATACAATGAGTGGTGAGTCATGAGATAGCCATGGGCTGGGAATTGAACCTTGGCGTCCTGACTCCCAACCCGGCAACACTGCTTCTGCGCTCTGCCTTTCTAGTGTCTTGTACACTGGTCTATGTCCCTAAATGTTTACTCTTTGCTGACTGCCAGAGCCCTAAGGAGCAAGAGAGATGACTTGGCAAGAAAGTCAAAAGTCAGCAATCCTCTGCGGCCCTTGGCCAAGTTTCTATTCCTGGCCACTTCCCCGCCCTCGCAGTGGTTGACATAACCCAAGCCGGAGCCCCAGCTCCGCCCCAAGTAGGTGCGAGGCCCCTCCTATAGCCCTGAATGTTTTAAAACCAAACTGGGTTCTCCCCGATTGGTTCTGCTTCAAAACAAAGAGGAGGNCATGGGCGGAACCCTCAAGGCTAGGGGGGCCGGGGGCAGCAGCGGCTGCGGGGGCCCGAAGGGGAAGAAGAAGAACGGAAGGAACAGAGGGAGCAAAGCCAACAACCCCCCGTATCTGCCCCCCGAGGTGAGCACCTGATAAGTGGGGGGTTGAGAACAAATCACTCTTTCCGGTCCCCGGACTCTAGGAAGGTGGGACGGAGAGAATTGATACCCCCTTCCGGTGTCAGGACCCCTGGGGAGAGGAGAACCCCTCCTTCCGGTCCCAGGAACCCTAGAAGGAGGGATGGAGAGACTGGCCCTCCCCTCCGGGGTCAGGACCCCAGGGAGGAAGAGTGGGGAGGAGGAGCCCCCCATTATGATCTAGATAACTCCAGGAGGAAAAGTGGGGAAAGGAGATCCCGCTGCCAACCCCTTGGGAAGAGCAGAATGGAATGCCCAGGCTCATCCCAGTGCTGCACTAAGAGCGGGGAGACTACATCCTGGCATGAGGAGACAGAGTTTTCTAAACTTGTTCCTTGGGGAGGCGGGGAGTATCCGGGAAAAGAGCAGTATGTTCTGTACCTGTCTCTGAGAGCGCGCGCGCACACACACACACACACACACACACACACACACACACACACACACACACACACACACACACACACACACACAGAACAGCAGGTAGTTCTGCTCTTTGCCTGTCCTATGAGGATGTGGGGACAGCCTCCACATACCTACTTCATCTACTCCCTAAGAGAATAACTGCTACTTTGTCCATCTTAGGAAAGGAGGACCCAGAGGAAGAGCCTAAACCAGTGCTTATCAAACTTTAGCATGTATCAGAATCACCTGGATTGCTGCCCCACCCCTAGAATTTCTGATTCATTAGGTCAGAAGTGGGCCTTATAATCTGCGCTTCTTACAAATTCCTGGGTGGTGCTAATACTGCTGGTCCTGGGACCACATTTGAATCATCCTTGTACCACTTTTCTGAAGCCATTCATTTTCATTCTTCATTTCTGTCAAAATGATAAAAAGGAAGGTCTTTCGTGATGGGTAAAGATCTCCCTTATACCCCATGAGGTAGAGATTATAGGTGAAGACCTGTTAGAGCTTGGAGTCAGAGGGCCTTGAAGGGATGGAATGATGACAGAAAGGGAAAAAGAAAAATGGCCAGGGAGGAGGAGGGCAGAAACGCAGGACAGGCAGAGCAAGCAAACCTCATATCCTTTTGCCCCTGGGAGGGGAAGACTCAGGCAATGGGATACTTCTTTGTTGGGTCACTTAATATAGGGAAGAGGCAGACGAGATTGTAAGATGGACTCAAGATTCTACCTCAGTTGAGGCACAAGGGGATAGGAGATAAAAGCTACAGGGAGTCTATCTCCCTAATTATATTTGTTGAGTTTCTTCTCTTCACCGCAGCCCCAACTTTGGAGCCCTACCCCTCTCACCTGTGCTCTCTCATTGAGCTTGTAGTGACCAGTGCTGAGCTCACCCTTTGGCCCTGGTCCAGAACCTCTTGCATGCTCTTACTCTTGATGACATCAGCCAAGAGGGGTGGGCAGGAAGGAAGTGATATCTCCCAGACCAGTGGCAAAGAATGGCCTCAACAGCTCAGACACAGAGGAGACATAGATTTCTGGGGACAGCAGTTTGAGGGCCTGAGGAGAAGGAAAGGGTGACTGTGCATCTGGGAGAACATGCTGCCAGTGATCAAAGAAAGGAGGGACTCAGGGTTCTGTTCCTGGCTTAGATGGGTGACTGTGTTCTTAGAGGCCTTTTCTTGAGAGAGGTCACACTGGGGCTGGGTAGAGGGCTTGTTGCCAATGACCTTTGACAGGCACCTGCCTAAATAGGTGCCATTGAAGCTTCTTACTATCTCAAGTTAGCTGCTGCCTGGGCACCATCCGGAATTGGGGAAATAGGGGTTAGGTCTGAACCGTGTTTGGTAACTGCTCCCTGTTTCTTTTCAGGCTGAAGATGGAAACATCGAATATAAAGTGAGTCTTAGGCTGGGGAGGTGCAGGTTGTCTTTGCTGGCATGGGATGACGATTTCTCTGAGATCCTCCACTTCATGATCTATAGTAATTTAGGGATGTGGTTCAGGGTAAGGACTCTGTACCTCATTCTATTGGGGGGACTCACTGTTAGAGGGGGTCAGACATGAGGGGTTTTAAGTGGGAAGGGAAAGTCCTGGTCCTTAAAGCAGGACAAGTGGTGAGCATGTGTGTTTAGGAGCAGCATCTCTGACTTCACCTTCTCATGATACCTCACCTGCCCTAAGCTGAAGCTGGTGAATCCATCCCAGTACCGCTTTGAGCACCTGGTGACACAGATGAAGTGGCGGCTCCAGGAGGGCCGCGGTGAGGCAGTCTACCAGATTGGGGTGGAGGACAATGGGCTGCTGGTGGGGCTGGCTGAGGAGGAGATGCGGGCCTCCCTCAAGACCCTGCACCGGATGGCAGAGAAGTATGCTTCCCCTTCCTTCTCGGTTCTCTTTTCCCTAACTCTGGGGAGGACCCACATACATCCAGTCACCTAGGGCCTCAGGGGCCAAGAAGATACTTTCCTTCTGCTGCCTTCTCTTGACAAAGGGCTGAAGTGGGGAGAGGGCTAGTGTTCTGGGCTCCTCCACATTTGGACCTAGGCTTTTTTGCTCCTTAAGATTTGTTTGTTTGTTTAAAGGGAGCTGTGGATGTGGGATAGTTTGGAGGGTGGTAGGAGAGGAAGTAATGTGTTGGGAGCTCTTTGGGACATGTGGGAAGGCCATTGGTCCAGGATGGAAGGCTGGGGGTGGGGGAGTACAGGTGAGATGTGGCAGCTGTGGCCTTGCTGTGATAGGGTTGGGGCAGACATCACTGTTCTCCGGGAGCGAGAAGTGGATTATGACAGCGACATGCCCCGGAAGATCACTGAGGTGCTGGTACGAAAGGTCCCTGACAACCAGCAGGTGAGCACACACACTTCCCTGCCTTTCACGCCCATGCTCCCTGAGAGGGCCCTGTGGTTCCAGACTTTCTCCTGGCCTGTGATCCTGGGGATATCTAGTTCATCATTTGGTGCCCAAGGAGTGGCACTGTCCTTGATCCAGTGTTTACTGGAGAGAGGTAAGGGATTGGAGTCCTTAACCTCTGACAATTCATCCACAGTTTCTGGACCTTCGTGTGGCTGTCCTGGGGAATGTGGACTCTGGGAAGTCAACTCTGCTTGGAGTCCTGACCCAAGGAGAGCTGGACAATGGGCGCGGCCGGGCGCGGCTCAATCTTTTCCGCCACCTGCATGAGATTCAGTCTGGCCGAACCTCCAGCATCAGCTTCGAGATCCTGGGCTTTAACAGCAAGGGAGAGGTGCATGCAATCAACGGGACCCAGTGGGGCCAGACTGTGAGGATAGGATGGTGGTGGTGAGGGACAGTCTGAGGGCAGTGTGTGGAAACTTTTTGGAGTAGAGTAGATACAGGCCCTGAGGGCATTGAACAGGCTTTGTCCTTAGAAAACAAAAAGGGAATCAGCTGAATTAAATCAGAAATGGGGCTCAGGGTTAAGAGGCAGGGCCACCCAGGGACTGGTTTAAGTCTTGGTGACTCTGAAAGGGTTTGGGAGGCTGGCAGGGGGCACTGAGAGCCCTGGGCTCTGGGCCAGGTGGTGAATTACAGTGACTCACGGACCGCAGAAGAGATCTGTGAGAGCAGCTCCAAGATGATCACCTTCATCGACCTGGCCGGCCACCACAAGTACCTACACACCACCATCTTTGGCCTCACCTCTTACTGCCCTGACTGTGCCCTGCTCCTCGTCAGTGCTAACACTGGGATCGGTACGAGGCATTGGGGCAGGGATGCAGCTGGAAGGGGGTGCTGACTCTCTCCTACCCTGGGCCTACTTAAATCTGGGAGCCAGATGAACTCTCCTTTTGTTCCCTGTCCTCCCTCCTGCATTCTTTCTTCTTTCCTGATGCCTGCCTTCCTTCTCTGAGGCAGCCGGAACAACAAGGGAACATCTGGGGTTGGCCCTGGCCCTGAAAGTGCCCTTCTTCATCGTGGTCAGCAAGGTGGACCTGTGTGCCAAGACCACAGTGGAGAGGACCGTACGCCAGCTAGAGCGGGTCCTCAAGCAGCCTGGCTGCCACAAAGTCCCCATGCTGGTCGTCTCTGAAGATGATGCTGTCACTGCTGCCCAGCAGTTTGCCCAGTCACCCAAGTAAGCCTTCCTCACTCCAGAGCCCCAGTCCACAGGGAAGGCTGCCATGGGGCCCTGGAGCATAGTGTCCCACCTTAGGACCAAACCAATTCTGGCTCAGTTCTGTGGTTTTGTAGGTTGGGATTGTGGGAGGCAGTCTTTGCTAAAAGGCTGACCCTCCCCCCAAGCCAGCCTGGAGCTCTGCTGATGCCTGGGAACCTGGAGACGAAGTGCTATGACAGGCATTTGCCAACTCTTTTGGGCTCTGGGATGGGTCCTTGGCGGGCTCACAGAGAGAGGGCCCAAAGCTCCTGTGAAGGTTAACAGGAGGGGCCCCTAGTACCCATGAGAAAAGCTCACCTTTCCGTGTGTGAGGCTCTAGCCTCTGCTTCCTATTAGAACTTTCCTCACCTGTCTATTCCATGCCTCCCTCTACAGCGTCACCCCTATCTTCACACTGTCCAGCGTGTCTGGAGAGAGTCTGGACCTGCTCAAAGTCTTTCTGAATATCCTGCCACCGCTCACGAACAGCAAAGAGCAGGAGGAACTCATGCAGCAGCTGACAGAGTTTCAGGTAACTGTCCACCCAAACAGGCAGTGAGCTGGGGAACTAGGAGGGACTAATTCTGGGCAAGCCCCGTGTTAAGAGAGATTGCACTTGCACAGGCCAGTGATAGAATTTTCTTTGGCTTCAGGTGGATGAAATCTACACAGTACCAGAAGTGGGGACAGTTGTTGGAGGGACACTTTCCAGGTGAATTTCCTTGCTTGCTGCCCACCACACTCAGCCCTCACATACCCATACACTGGAAGACATCATGGCCCAAAGGAGACCCTGGAGTTGAACAGAGCCCAGCTAAAAGACGTGCTTGTCTGCAGATTAGGTTTCACCACCAGAAGAGCTGGAGAAAGCTAGTCTAGTGGCTTATGAGGGAAGAAACAGTATTGCTGCTTTACTGGGAATCTCCAGGCCCCTGAGGGAGAAGTGTGGGTCTTGGGCCCCAGGAAAAAAGCTAGAGTGTGTGTTCAGCTGACTTCATCTTCAAGTAGGGAAATGGGAGGTCCCTTAAGACTCTCTCCAAGGCAGAGGATGAAACCCAAGGGGATATCTTGCTCTTTCAGGGATCAGGTGTTCAGTGTCAAACTAGCAGGCACCTCTCTGCCAGCCATCACTGCCTTTCCTGATATTGCCCTTCAGAGTCTGAACTCTGAACTGGGGCAAAGCAGTCATCTCCCCTAAGTTCAAGTCAGAATTTTTTCCCCCAAGTCAGAATTTAGGGTCTCTCTCCCCGTCCTGAGGGACTCACCTTAGAAGGGAAAGAATGCTTTGCTTGCCTCTAGCAGAGAAGTAGTAAGGGAGCCTAGGCTGACGCTGTGCCATCTGCCCTCTGGGCTGCAGTGGGATTTGCCGTGAGGGCGACCAGCTGGTGGTGGGCCCCACGGACGATGGCTGCTTCCTGGAGCTGAGAGTATGCAGCATCCAGCGCAACCGCTCTGCCTGTCGTGTGCTGCGAGCTGGTCAGGCTGCTACACTGGCTCTCGGGGACTTTGACCGTGCGCTTCTTCGCAAGGTGAGGTGGGAAGGTGGGTTGGAGAAGGAACACAGAGAAGCACCTGCCTAAGGGGAACTCAAAGGGAACGTGGTCTCTACCCCAAGAAGCTAGTTATAGAGACTGTTTGAAAAGCCTTAGAATACTCATGAAGCACAGATCACTAAATATGAATCACTGTGGTGCAGCCATAGTGTCCAGGACCCTAGAAGTTAGAAGGGTTAGAGCACCTGGGAGGTGGGTAAGGAGGGGTTCCTCCTAAGAGGAGAGTTTTGAATATTGTTTTCTGAGGTCCTGTGCTTGAAGTCCTAGAGGAAGAGGAAACTTAGGAGCTGTAAGGGCGAGAGCCTAATGCGAGGTCTGGGGGCTGTGCCTCCCCAGGGCATGGTGATGGTGAGCCCCGAGATGAATCCCACCATCTGCTCAGTGTTCGAGGCAGAAATAGTCCTACTGTTCCATGCCACCACATTCCGGCGAGGCTTCCAGGTGACAGTACATGTGGGCAATGTCCGTCAGACAGCAGTGGTGGAAAAGATCCATGCCAAGGTGAGAGGGACCCAGCCATGCACATTTTTCCAGGGAAAAGTCAGAATTCTCCTGCCTCCAGAAAGGCCTGGCCCGAGACTTATAAACTCCTTGATCCCACAGAAGGGGCAAAGACCCACTTAGGGTGGGTAGAAGCCTGATAGGCCCCCAAGGGTGGAGAGCCCAGGCTGGTAGAGAATGGGACAGGAGGCACTATCCAGGGCCAGTGACCGCATATCTGCTGCAGGACAAGCTGCGGACCGGGGAGAAGGCAGTGGTACGTTTCCGCTTCCTGAAACACCCAGAGTACCTGAAGGTGGGTGCCAAGCTGCTGTTCCGGGAGGGTGTCACCAAGGGCATCGGCCATGTCACTGATGTGCAAGCCATTGCAGCAGGAGAAGCCCAGGCCAACGTAGGCTTCTGAACCTCCTCCAGGCAGGCACAGCTCTATTGCTGTCCCTACAATATATAAGGTGACTCTGGCCATGCTGCCCCCTGTTGGCGGCTCTGTGTGTTAATAGGCTAGGGAGAGGGGTGCTCCCTGCCACCATTCTGGAGAGGTGCCAAGCTTGGTGTGGCCAGGGAGGGGAAGCCCTGAGGGAGAAGACAGGAGAATTCAGGGCTGTGCTCAGCAGCTGTGTCCATCAACCCTGAAAACCCCATGGCCTGTCTACGGAGTGAGCTGACCGCCGCCACCTTGGCCCCATTGTCAGGACTGGGCATGATTCACCGATGTGGCCCCTGCACTTCAGGAATTGTCACAACTGGGAGTGGTCCTCGAGAGCACTCCTTTTTTTATACCTCTTCTGAAGACCATGTAAGTTGCCCATCTCTACCTGACTGTGGACAGAAGACATCTGCTCCTGGCCATCTGGTGGCCCAGGGTCTGAAGAAATGTCATAGGGACAGTGGATGGCAATGCTCTCATCCTGTGCTGAGACATGTGGCCCTTATCTTCTTCACTCAAGGGCCACTTCCCTAGTTTCTCCTCTCATAGGCCCCACAGGTGCTATTTGTTGTGCTGGCCCAGGCGTGGGGCTACCAAGCTAAGGCTTGGCATACCGAAGGTCAGCTGCATGTCAATCAGTTTTGTCCCCTCCTCTGCAGTGATCTGTTGGTTTTAATTTTTTTTCAATTGATTTTAGAGAGAGGAAGGGAGAGAGAGAAACATCGATTTGTTGTTCCACTTATATATGCATTTATTGGTTGTTTCTATGTGCCCTGACTGGGGATAGAACTCAAAACCTTGACGTATTGGGACAATGCTCTAACCAACTGAGCTATCCGGCCAGTGGTGATCTGTTGGTTTCAATGCTGGATCAAACAGTATGTTTTACTTTCCCAGGCTGACCCACAGTTCCCATTCCTGCCACCCTCACCCTGCTTCCTGCTCCTACATAAGTCCTCTCATTTTAGTAATTTGCAGTGACCATCCCTTTCCCTCTGTTGTTGGGAACCTGGAGAAAAGGGAAAGTTGTTGCCATATTTCCTAGTCTTCAGGGCATGGACTCCCTCCTTTCCCTTTGTTAGTGTCCTGGGTTCCCATGGACTCAGGGATTTGTTGGTTGAGGTTTCTTTGCATTATATATATGTACATACATATATATTTAAATACATATATATATATTGTACAGAATAAAAATGTTTTATTAAACACATTGTGCTTATGCTTAAGACACAGGTTCAGCTTCCAGACCTAGATTCCTCTCCAGGATTAGAGACAAGTGAAACCCTAGCACTGCTGAGCCCTGAATGGGGAAAGAATTCATCTAGTATCTCATTCGCAGTTCTTCCTGTCCTTTCCCCCAACATGCGATCGATGTTCCAGTACTGTCATCAAGTATTCTGGCCTGTTTTGCATAGTTCTTTGAGTGAGCAGAATAGAAAGTGAAACTGCCACCTTTTCATCTGAGATAGGTAACCACCCCATACATGAGGAATTGGCCACTTGCTAATCACCACAATAGAAAGGAGCCCACTATTGTGTCAGAGATTTGGAGATTAGTGTGCCAGCTATTTAAGAATAGAATTTAGAGACATGGTAATCTGATCCTCATGCTTTTTCTAGCAATGCAAAATAGCCTGAAGTGAGGTTTATGTAGCCTAAACTGGCTGCTTGGAGTTATGAGGGCCACCTTGCCAAGCTTTAGTCCCTTCTTCCTGTTTCTGTGTTCAGAGAACCTAATTATCACAGTTTATGGGTAGAGAAATAGGGCCCAATGTTAAAGTCAACTACAAAAAGCAGGGACTGCATTTTGAGCACTGAACTTTGCAAAAGAAATTTATTAATAAATGTGGCCCGACGTCCCCAGGGGCATTCTGCCTCCAAGGTATTAAAGCGATAGCTTCCCTACCTCTCAAGCTCAGCTGCTTTTAAAAATATCACTGATTTAACTGCTACTAAGAAGCCTATGGTTGAAGAACTTCCTCCTACGTTGGGAACTAAGAGGTTTACTTCCTTCTGTACAATTGCTGCGCTATGAGGAAAGGTTACATTTAGGGGAAAAAAAGTTTTTGTTTTGGGGAGGCAACAAAGTTACGCTCAGAGATGAGTTTCTGTCTTTGCCAGCACTTTATTTAGCACAGGTTCTCTGTGGATATTATAATTTCATAAGCCAGTAGCATACAATATCTCTTAATAAGCCAAGTAAAGAAATAACATACACCAAGCAAATGACAGATTAATCACACTATTGTTCCAATCAAGGGGAGGTGAAGGAATAAAGTTCAAACTTAATATGAAGTGTAACTTTTTATACCAGGAGGCACGGAAGGTTGGCGACCCACCAAAGAGCTGATTTCCAGCCGCCAACACAAAAGTAAAAGTCCCCTGTTGCTAGAGCATGTTGCTAGGGAACAAGGACATGTGAGGTAGCAGGAGGGCTAAGCTGCTATGAGGATTATCACTTCTTCAACCCCTGCATGGATTCATTGGTTGATTCTTGTATGTACCCTGACCGGAAATTGAATCCACAACCTTGGTATATCAGGACAACACTCTAACCAACTGAGCTACCCAACCAGGGCAAGACCCCTGCATGGGTTTAACACCACTATGGATGGGTAGGAGCAAATGTTTTAAGGGTCTTCAGAGAGTTTTTAGGTTAGCAAAGAGTCATCTCATCCAAACCAAAAATCTCAAATAATCCTCACAAACTCTCAGTATTTATAGTCTAAATGTCCCCTTGCCACATGTTCCTATCGATAAGCCTCCAGCGGGAACCCCCAGTTGGGTTTCTGCTTATCAATGGCCACATGCAGAATAATGAGTCCCGGCACAATTCATTCTTATATCAAAGCAACTTTTTAAAAATTTGTCTACAACTGAATTAGAACAATTTCACTTAGGTCATAAGTGAATTTGAAATAGTAAACCTATACACAATCACCTGTTAAAAACTTTTCCTGGATTAAGAAAGGAAATTTTGGGAAGTCATCTCAGAGACCTCTCCAGGAACACGTGCGCCACTTTGCTATATCAGCGGAACACGTAGGAGGAGAAAAAGGCACGTAAGGCAGCCCTCTGCCCCTACCCCCAGGAATATGTATATTTTTATTGTTCCAGTTCTGGTAACCATCTAAAATTTTTCACTATATATGTTTTATCCAATGAGTATCAAGTACCTATTATGTGCAAGACACTGAAGAATTCCTGCCTCCAAGAAACTGCAGATCTAGTAGGGAAAGGACCATGTACACAGTGAATACTCTTATTAGACATTTAACTGCCATAAAAAAGGGAGCTGTTGTTGGAGGAAGAAATTTTCTGTTAGACCTAGTGGTTTTCAAATGTTTCCCCCCCTTCTTCAAACTAAATACAGACCTCCCATTTATAAATAAGCTTAAAAAGCAGTTGATTTGAGTATATGTATGGGAGAGGGAATATGTGCAGCGTTCTCCCTACTGCTCTACTACCCCACCACCACCTAACTCAGTTCATCTGGAATTTTATTCAAGGTTCCCCATATCAGGAAAGCTGACTTTCCACATATAAGAACAGAGATTAAGAATACAGTACTATAAACATGGACAAGTGTAAAAAAGCTATAATAATTTAAAACCCTAAGCTAAAAAATCACTTCAGTAGGGAAGAGGTGAATATACCCGTGACCCTGAAGGCCCAAGTACTTACCCATTAAATTTGTACATGAGGGTTTCAGAAGATGCCTTCTACAGATTTCTCAAACTTTAAGATACACCCTGAGAAATCCTGTTAATATACAGATTCTGATCCAGTTGGGGTCGGGGTGAGGCTGAGACAATTTTAACAAGTTCCTTGATGATGCTGATGTTGCTCCTCAAAGTCACACTCAGAGTAGCAGAGTTCTAGAGATGCTTTAGTTCTGATCACGACTTATCCCTTTGAAACAGTTCCTAAAGTGGTGCAGTAGCAATCTCGCACATTAGAGCACGATGCAAGAGGTTGTAGACGTGCCAGTGGCTAAAACCACAGCTACCATGTGGTTTGCTTGTATGGAATTCAGTATTTATTGAGTAGTCCCTGTCATGGAGACAGGGTGAAATTTTGTTTGTTTTTTAAATATATCTTTATTGATTTCAGAGGTGGAGAGAGAGATAGAAACATCAATTATGAGTCATTGATCGGCTGCCTCCTGCACACCCCCGACTGGACATCGAGCCCGCAACCCGGGCATGTGCCCTGACCAGGAATCAAACTGATCTCCTGGATCCTAGGTCGATGCTCAACTGCTGAGCCACGCTGGCCGGGCAGGGGGGAAATTTTTTAAAAACTTTTTCCTCAGTCCCTTTCCTGCGCTACAGTGCTTTAATAAATTGTTCTTAATCTTCAATACTCTGTAACACATTCTCTCAGTTTTGCTCATTATCTCAAAGACGAGGAAAAGTGAGGAAAGAGACTTGCTCAAGGCCATATACTCCAAGAGGCAGAGCCAGGTTTGGAAGCAGATCTCTCAGGCTCCAAGGCCAGCATATTTCCCACTATGTGACTCTGCCTTCCTGAACACTTAACCATTAAAAACTCAAAGCAGTTGTATCTCTGGAAGATTAATTTTTACATCTCTATCAGCAATGAAATTAGAATCCATGCCCATGAAGAGATGGGAGCCTTAACTCAGCATTTAACTGCATTATTTTTCTTATAAATTTTTTTATAAAGTTAGGAATTTCTTTGAAAAGTGAACATATTTCCATTTCCCAGGTTATAGATAAAATATTAAAACCCTGCAGCAAGCCTGAGGGCAGCACTAGTGGGTTAATGGCTTAAAAAATGATTCCAATGTCTGCATGCCCTCAGGCCTAGGGCGCTTATTACTGGAGGCCAAAGGGCTCTTTGGATTTCTTTTGCCTTGAGGAGAAATGGGAGGCGCAAGCTGGGGGTCTGAGGACTGGGGCTGCAAAAAGGATTTCTGCAACTCCAGTGCAAAATGATAGTCCATATGTTCCGGCATCTCCCATACAGGTATCAGAGAGCCACACTTCTCACAGGGCACTTGGTCCTCAGCAGCCAGAAGACTCGGGGTAGTAGTTGCCTTCTGAGCCACCTCCAGAGCAGACTTGGAACTTAAAGAAGCAAGCCTGCTGGGGCTGTTCTCAGCCAAATCCGTCTCTGCAGGCGGTGCTTTACAGGATTCTAGCTTCAAAACCTCTTCACAGACAGGGCAAGAATCTGGATACTCTGTTGGAAAACTGTTTGGTAACTTTTTAGGACTAGACTGTGGATTTTTTGGAGGGGAGGAAACTGAAGGATTATTAAGCTGTTTCTGCTTTAGAAGCAGACTTTTCTGCTTAAAGAAGGGCTCGATTCCTGTAATACAGCTGGTTTGGAAAGGTAATGAGGGCTTGCGTGGTGAATTGCTCTTGAGGGCCTGGGTAGTGGAAGTTAGAGACGGAAGTGAAGCTTCTTTGACTTTCTGCTTTTCTGCAGCTTTTTGGAAAAATGATTCCAGAGAAGTGGTTGCTTTCTTAGTGGCTGTAACCGATGGGCCACTTCCCTGGGTCTTAGTTTCTGGACTGGTAATTGGCACCTTTGGCAGAGAACTTGAGTCGTTACTCAAGAAGACAGTGATGTCTGTGCAAGATGAAGGGGCAGACGCAGAGAATTTGGTAGCACAAAGGAAAAGCATTGTGAGGGGAGGGGACCTGTATGGAAAGTAAAAGAACAGGATTAGCACCAGGTCACAGATTTGAATTATAAATGACTGTGATTCTGGCTCTGCCACAAGAGGAAATTATTACTGCATCGATTCTCAAACTTTAGGGTATATCAGGTTAATACAGATTCAACAGACAGGAAGGGCAGAGAATATGCCTTTCTAGTAAGTTCCTAGGTGATGCTGATGTTGCTAATCTAAAACCACATCTTGAGAATTGATGACTTGGTGAACCAAGTCACATATGTGTAAGTTGGATCCCTGACAGCTACATATTACTGTTTTCATACAACACTGCTGCAGAACTGCTGTAATTCAGGGTTAGGGCAAGAAATGTTACTCAGGGCAACAAAAAAGCTTTAGAATATTTAGACTGTGAAGACTCGAAAAAAACCCTCTCACCCATTCTCCTGTTTTTAAGAGGGCGTCATGTTACACTAACACTGACAGGATTTCAACTCTGGAATTTGTGAAAAATGAAATTCCACAATGGCTTTTGGTTACCTATCCTTGTCCCAGAAACATTTCAAGAAATTCCTGTCATAAAGTTCCTCATTATGTCTAATTACCCAAATAAATTTTCACGAGTTGAATTTCAAAAGATGAAACACGCTTTTCATACAGATTAGTCCCTCAAGGTAAAGAGTAAATGCTATTTTAAAATTATCACAACAGAATCTCACTGTTCTCTAGTTTGATGCTGGGGGACAATCTTATACAGTGGCACCTCGGTTTTCGAACGTCTCCACTGATGAACATTTCAGGTTACAAACGCAGTAAACCCGGGAGTAAATGCTTCGGTTTTCGAACACGCCTCAGAAGTCGAACATGCCACACGGTTTCTGCTGGGGGCAAGATCCTGAGGCCTAGCTGTCGGCTGTGGATCCCTTGGTTTTTTGACATTTCAGAACTCAAACAGTCTTCCAAAACAAATTGCATTAGAAAACCAAGGTACCACTGTAATCAGATAATTTTGATGCTTCCCTGGCAATAAGTTTCATGCTCTTGGTAATATCCATTACAGTCTGTCAATTTATAAGGTTTTTATATGAACACAGTATCACAATTATCATTTGGCTCAGTAAAAATGTTCAATTTTTGAAAATAAACAAATATACCAGGTAGTAAAAGTTAAGTAAGAACCTGAGCGTAACAGAACAACGCTCTAACAAACTGAGTACCCGGCCAGGGCTTTCTAAGAACAAAGACTCCAACTTTGGAGACCCCATTATATTGTACATCTGTACATATAATAATAGTGGCCCACATATTTAGATAATACCTTCGGTGGTTAGCTAAACTTATTTCTTATAATCTTCAATACAGATCTATAAATAAACAATTTTTTTCCTCACATAATTATATTTCCATTGTGAATTTGGAATACTTTTTTTTTATGTAACAGGCTATGTTACATTAAACAGTTAAAGGATTCCAACACTGAGAATAATATCTGGACAGTAAATGAACACACTCCAATCATATTTGGTTATTTTTCATGACCAACTAAAGTCTATTAATATGACATTTGGTATTATACCAGTGGAGTCTGTAACCAAGTTGGGATATTAGAGATTATGAATGAGTATGGGTCAGTTTCATTATCAAGGAAGATGCTTTTAAGAGAAAAATCAAGTAGCTGAAAAAGAAGTTCCCAAGTGTGCTGTGCTCTGTACTCCCAAGTGCAAATGGTCATTCCCCTGAGTCCTGCAAATGATACAGGTAAGGATAGATAGTATTGTTTTACTCTGCCTCTCAAAACCTAGGGGTGGGAACTGGATTGCACCAAATGTAGGCAAAGAAGTTGCATCAGAGCTGCCTTTTGTCTGGTGTTTTTACTGTGTTCTCTCCTTTGTGCATGACCATTCGCCTCTGTGAGAGGTCCTGCTAGCCAGAGTCACAACTACCCCAGCTGGAAAGCTTATATTCCCACTAATTTTAGAGCAAGACAGGGTATAAGTCTCTTCTGAGAAGATGAGCTAGAAAGAAACTCACCATTCGGTTTGGATTCCTGAAGTATTGCAGTTCCTGATGACAGCAAATGCGTCATGGCTCATCTTGTGAGCATCATAGTGGGTAAGGGCACAGCAGCGGCGCAGACTGCTGAGACGTTTGTCTCCTTGTACACGAATGCTCACAGTCAACTGGGTGGCCACCCTGTCATTCTGTGGGTATACAAGGATTGAGACCAGAACTAAAGTTACCGTGTGCATCTGGCTTCTGTATACTCAACTGCGTGAAAGGACATTAAAAGAAACAGGGTGAAGGAATGGTTTAGAAATAGTCAAGTTTAATTTAAATTTTTTTTTTTAAATTGTGCTATTTTGGGGGGTATAAGAAGAAATCAAAGAAGATACAATGTGACTGATGGATTATTTGACTATATAGGAAACTTTTACAGGTAATGAGAAGAGTATAGAATAAATGAAAATGGACTCTCCTGAACACTTTTTCTATGGTGACTATGAGGGAAGATTATAACAAATAGCTATAGTACTATATCCTATTTTGTGACTGAAGGAAGAGCTCATGTAAGTAACTGTCTGAAAGCAAGATCCAAGCTAGGATGTTAAGATTGAGTAGTGGACTTATTCTTTAATCTGCCCTGATGCTCTTATGTTTAGTAAGAGCAGAAGTTTCACTAGCACCTCCTCACAGCCCATCACTAGAAGATACAGTGTAGTGAGCCTGCCTCTAGAGAGCAAGATCACCGACTCACTTTTCAGTGAAGTCTAAGCACCTGAATACTCCTGATGCAAAGCAAACTAATAAACAAAGGTCAAGAGGCAGAAATATAAGAAGGTGCCCTAGCTGGTTTGGCTCTGTGGTTAGAGCATCAGCCTAAGGGCACATACCTTGGTTGGGTATTGGAAGCAACCAACTGTTGTATCTCTCTCACATCCATGTTTCTCACCCCCCCCACTCTCTCTGAAAAGCAATGGAAAAAAATTCCTCGGGTGAGGATTAAAAAATATATTTATATATGAAGGTAAAAAGTCTATTATTGGGATTCCTTCAAAAATTAAAAAAAAAGATGTTAGTGACAAGGCATACCCCTAAGGCAAACAAGCCAAGAGCAGCAACTATTTTGGGTGGTAAAAATATAATTTGTATTTTTTACATTTTGAAGTACAATTCCTACAGATTTGTAAAAATTGGCAATTACAAAGGCATCTTTGTTGACTAAAACCATTCAAATATAACTGAATGCCTACTATATATCAGGCACTGTCCAGAGATACAGGACAGAACACAATAAAGCCCAGGCCCTCATGGATCTTATCTTCTAGTAGGAACTACAAATAATGAACAAGTAGACATGTAATAGACATGACTGCAAAGTGCTACCGAAAAACGCCGAGTAAGGCAGAGAGTGCTGGGGACTGCTAATGTACGAGGGTAGTCAGGGAAGGCCCCTCTAAGAAGGTGGAATTTAAGCAGAGCAAATTTGTAGAAAATAAGTTCAGAGATTCTCCAAGCTAAAGGAACAGCAAGTACAGAAGTGCCAAGGTAAGAGTTTGCTTGGTGTGTTAAATAAAAGGGAAGGAGGCCAGCAGAGTGGCAGCGAGAGCTAAGTGAGTGTGGGGGAGAGGATAGGAGATGAGGTCAGAGAAGTAGCCAGAGACCAAATCCTATTGGTCATTACAGAATAAAAGAAATCCACACGTTACTCAAGTGTGAAGGCACTAGAATATTTTAAAGTAAGGTGATAGGATCTTCTATGTCCAGAATTGTTTTTGGCATGAAGTCCTTTCAAGCTTAAAGATACTAATTTTCAGGGATCCCTACTGCTTTGCACTGGATACAAGTTGGGAAGAAAAGTCCCCAGTCTTATAGAGATGAGAACGTGGCGACACCTAGTGGACAAAGTCAAATAGGCTCACAACACAACTGGGATCATACCCCTCTTTGTTACCTACCAAAGAACAAACATTCACCACCCATTCAGCTGAAAAGGGGCATACAGGTAGTTTTGGATGATTCCTGACAATATACAGTTGACTTGTAGGACTCCCAGATGTTTCAACAGGGAAGGACCCATCAAATGATACCATCAGGAAAATGAAAAGAATACCCACAGAATGGGAGAAAAAAATTGCAAATTATATATCTGACAAGTGATTTGTACCCAGAATATATAAAGAGCTCTTAAAACTCAATAGACAACACATTTCAAAAATGAGTAAAAGACCTCAACAGACATTTCTCCCCAAAGGATAAGAAAATGGACAATAAGTTTTTCAAGTGAAAACCACAAACTTCACACTCACTAATAGGGTTAAAACTAAAAAAGACAATAACAAGGATAGAAATTGGAGCCCTCTTATACTGCTGGGAATGTAAAGTAGTGCAGCAACAGCCTCAAAATGCTAAACAGAGTTACCAGGTGACCCAGCAATTCCACTCGCAGGTGGTATATAGGAGCAAGGGAAACGAAAACCATATGTCTACATAAAAGTCTATAAATGTATGTTCCTAGTAACACTATTCAGAATAGCCGAAAGTGGAAACAACTCAAATATCCATTCACTGATAAACAGGTAAACAAAACGTGGAACTATCTATACAATAGAATACTATTCAGTTATATAAAGGAATGAAATGCCTGGCTGGTGTGGCTCAGAGGCTGAGCATCGATCTATGACCCAGGAGATCAAAGTTTGATTTCCAGTCACTGCATTTGCCTGGGTTTCGGGCTCAATCCCCAGCAGGGGGTGTGCAGGAGGCAGCCGATCAATGACTCTCATCATTGATGTTCCTATCTCTCCCTCTCCCTTCCTCTCTCTGAAATCAATAAAAATATTTAAAAAAAAAAAAAGGGAATAAAGTACTGATAGATGCTACAGTGTGGGTGAACCTTGAAAATATTACATTAAAGATTTCAAACCACTCACAAAAGTCCACATGCTGTATTATTCCATTTATATGAAATGTTCAGAATAATAAGTCTATAGAGACAGAAAGGAGACTGATTTCCTAGGGCTGGGGAGTAACTGCTAATAGGTACAGGATTTCTTTTTTGGGTGATGGAAATATTCTTGACTTGATTGTGGAATAGTTAAACAAACAGAAAATACTAAAACTACTGAACTATATACTGTAAATGGATGAATTTTTTTAAAACAAGTGAATTTTATGGTATGTAAAATACACATCAATAAAGCTGGGTGGTTGTTTTTTAGAAGAGTGGATAAACAAATCATCAGATGTCAGGTCTTTGACTTTACACTGTCTCTAAAACTGTCAGTACTTCTTTTTTTTTAATACCCGAACATATATTTAGAGA